GAACTCCGCCGGGAAGGTCACCAGCCGTTTGGTAGCGTAGGTTTCTCAGCTCGCGACTGCTTCTGCGCAGAGCTGATAGACGAGCGGACGAGAGCACGGTGAGTTAAACAAGGTTTATGTACAGCATATTGCCGCGCACGAAACAAAGAACGAAGACGATGTGCGCGCCAACAGTCTCGTGAAAAGGGGGACTAAAGAAGATGACGTGCTTTTGTTTTTGCTCGCCTGCTCTTGGCTCCTGCATAAAAAACACACGCCGTCGGTTCTTGGACTCAACGTCTCGGTGCACTGCTTACGTTGAACCGCGACAATATATACAGAGGCGTTACGAATTCGGAACTGGGGCCGACAGAGACTCGAAGAGCCGAGCTCTCCTCTCTAATACATGGGTCTGGTCTCAAACGGGTCCGCTGTCAAAGGGGTCTGCCCTCTGAAACACATGTCGGCTCTCCGACACGTCTCCTTTCACCTAGGACCGCCGATCGCGCCGCGCCGCAGGGCTTCTTTTATATGCACCGGGTCCAACCAAAATGTCCAACCAGAAGCGCCGCTGGTCGTCAGGGCAGACTCCTCCAATGGGGTCACCGCTGGGCCGCGTCCTTCTTTCTCATCGAATCTGGAGACGCTGCGCTGCAGGTGGCTGCACCCAAGGACGAGTGACGTCGCAAGGCATTGCGTCAGACCCTCCAGACAGGAAGACGCCAGTTGTTTACTCGACAGCTCGCTTGGGGTGACTCACTGCACGTGGGCGACAGAAAGGCGCCGTGGCGGGCTGACGCCGTTGAGTTGTTGATCGCGTCAGGCGGGCTCGCGGCTGGCCTTGACAAAGATTGCCTTTTTGAGAGGCACGGACGTTCACTGTCGACTCGCAGGCATAACAGTATAGGCCTGTTTTTTGTCCTTTACTTCGCAGCATTGCCTTTACCAACAGTATGTTTTAACTATTCTCCGCAAAAGCTCTTTTGATGAATAAGGCGAACATGTTGTACGTCCGTGTGCTTAGATTTGGGTGCACGTTCATGAACCCCCCGTGGTCAAAATTTCCGAAGCCATCAACTATGGCGTCTCTCATAAGCATATAGTGGTGTTGGGATGTTAAAGCCGACAGATCAATCAATCAATGCTCTTTTGAAAATAATATGTATTGTTTCAGACACACCAACAAATAGCAAAGTCACGTTAAGAGCGGCAAGCAGCTTGAAGCCTGCAACGCACACCTCAAGCTTAAAGCACGCCGGAAATCAGCATACACGGGACGAGCGCAGACTGACAACTATCACAGCTCAACACCTAAAGCACGCTGTTAAATTAGACTGAAACACGCACGAAACGAGCGCACAAGTATACACAGGGCCAGCGCTAACAACTGTCAATAGACATCTTCCTGTTTGCAAACAGTGTGACGTCACTGCAGGTGCCCCACCCACAATACTTTCCCTCGAAGCAGAGGCTGGTTTGTAAGAAAGTTTCAGCGGCGGCATCTTTCTTCATGGCAGAGCTGAGTGCATCTGCATTTTTTCGACAAAAGTTTCTACATGCTATGTCCTAAAGCCACCGCTTTTAAAAGGAAGGGGTCGCGGAAGGGACATTGCTCATAGTGACGAAGTGTGCTAGTTTTGAATGGATGAATGGAGGAACTTTATTTAGCACTGAGAGACGTGACTACTACACAGTGGACTTCTCCCGCGTAGATGGCAGCCATAAAAAATCCTATCTTCTTCGAAAGCCAATGTTTTTGCATGATTGTAAACTTACCATATTTTCATCGCGGCATCTGCAACAAAGTTTTAAACGAGGTAAAGCATTGGCGGCAGCATGATTATGAGCTGATGTGCGTAAGGTCAAGGATAAGATTCTCAGTAATTGCGCAAAATTCTGATAAGAGATAAGTGAATAGAAGTAAACACTTTTTGGCGGGCGTTGGGCTGAGTTTAACACATTCCAATAAAAATTAAAGTGAAATGGGGCAGCGGCGTTTCTCAATAGCTCACTAAATATTATTGCGATTTCAAACCCAATAACTTGATGTATACCTAAAATCTTACACAGTTATGTCGCCGTATTTGACACCGACAACGTGCTTTCATGCCTACATTGCTGCTTTGGACGTTATACACCATCTCCTAATGCGCATTGTCATTTTATAAAGATCAAGCCGTAAAAGTACGAAATGTATGAGAAAAGACATTCTCCGCTGTTTCGATGAACACGTATCAGGTCTTCGATAATACGACCTATACCAATAATAGGTTTGGGTATTCGCAGTGGTGGAGCTTATATGCAGATTTGACAACGCTACAACATGCTTACAGCTTATGCGTAGTCATATCTTTCAACCCGGAGATCATGCACCCTCTTTTTTTTGCGCATAACGCGAACACACAGATGTACGCATCCGCAGATGATCAGGTCAAAAGATTTTTACCTGGACTAAAGTTTCACGACAACCGGTTACTGCCACCAACTCACAACGGGTGTTAGTGCTTTCGCAATTAAAGGGCATCTTTATTCACACAGTACACATCACACACAATCTTCTCAGTTTCATCAGCCGTAAAAGTGAATGAATATTGTCGATGCTTTGAACGCACACCAAACGCTACAATAAACACCGAACATTTTCGACAACGATACCACTATTCCTCGCACAGGCCGCCACGTGTTTATATATTTTATTTATTTACAAATACTGCAGGTTCTACCCAGGTCCTACCAGGAGTTGGTACAAAAGTGTTAGTGATAATAGTAACAAAAATAATGAAATGTACAAAAGTTACAAAAATTTGTAACATGAGGAATGTAATAAATATACAGCGATAAAAAATACAACAAATCTCAGCCCCAATCACGAGCATATAAGGTCATTTTAAAAATCAAGAGATCAATTATTGACAAGATGAGTGAACGATTGTGTTGTGTCAGCATTAACCACTTCTTCCAGTAACTTGTTCCATAATGATAGAGAATGAGGGAATAATGAATACTCACTTGAGGTGACTGAGTGGTTGACTAACTGTTTTATTATGATGAATACGAATATGATGTGTGTGTTTACTTCTTCACAATAAAAAGCCAGTCAGCATGGCAAGTATCTCGTCACGTAGGTCACCACGCACGTAATGTTATCTGTCACCTACCCCATCCAATCTTACCACAGGAAGCGGAAGTCTGAGCGTTTGAAAAAAAGAAAAACATGCTTGTCCCAATCGACCTCCGCCCGACTTCACCACGCTGGGGCAGCAGCGGGAATGTTTTGTCAATCGCCGCCTTCCAAGTGCGCTGGTGACGTCATGCTGTGACGTACCCTGGTAGAGGTATATTCTTCCTGCGTCACGTGTCAGCAGCACTTTCCTTTCGTAATCGTGGACGTTGCAGCGAGCGAAGTGACCTTCACCCTCCCCGAATTACAAGTCTGTTAGATAAGTGTGCGTGCAGAAGAGACCACGCTCCGTGGAGGTAACGCTTCGTGGAGGCGACGACCAGTAGAGCGCGCCCAACGCGAGCACATCGCACAATCTCACCATTGATACGAAAAACACGCTACAGTTTCGGAGCTTTAAAGACCACCAATCGGTGTACGGAGTATATAAATGGCTTGTCGTTCGCTTTCTTGTCAACGTATGCTTTGTGGCGTAGTGGTTAGCGCTGCAAATTGAGAGGTGGCTGGTTTGACTCCGCGCAATAGATGCCTGCCTTCTCGATCTTTTAATGTGTTAGAACGTGTTTTACAGCATCATAACAATAACAGAATTGCGTAAGCGTAGCCATGACTCACCTCGGCATAAAGCACTTTAGTGTTAAAAAAGTATATTTGAGATGTATGTCTACTCCATTGAACATATGGGGATATTAACACAAGTGCAGTTCTTAGGGTACATTTTATCATCATAAACAAGTCTATCGCTCCACTTCAGTGTCTAGTAAAAATCTGTATGGTTTTAAAAAAACACATGTTGCGCGACATCTTGCCTGCATTCAAACAACACGCCCATCATCGCGCTCACAGGGACACACATGCACGCCGTCTTGTGTCGCGCAGAGACGATGATGCACGAGCATCCAGCTGGACCCGGCTGATGTTACCCGGGCACTGTCTCTATTCTCGAGCGCGATCGGCGTGCTTGACTCGCACCTTGTCAGTGTCGTTTGTCTCCTACTGCCAACGCTTGTATTCGCTTTCCGTGGCTTGCGCCTCATTGGCGTTGCAGGTGCGACGTCACCATTCGCGATCGGCTCCGCTATTTCTGGCGACGCCAGTGACGGCAGGGTTAGGCCGTATCGCTTAGGCAAATGTTTCGCGGGGCAAAGGAGCTTGACTTCGGGGCTTCTCCTCCATCGCATATGAACAAGCTGAAGGAGTATTCACTCGATGTGCCCTGGAACGTTGCGAGCGATGGAGAAAGTAAACTGAGAGAGAGAGGTGACACGTGGCGAGCGTGTGGCAGGCGAGGAAAATAGAGACCTCACCGCGCACCGTGAGGGAAGACGTAACCTACTTGGCACCGCCTGAAGACCTGCGGCGATTGGAGCACCACGTGGCGCGTTGGCACGGAGACGCAGAGGAACAGCGTTGCACAGGCTACTCACGTAACTGCGTCGCGTTTAAAACCTTCCGATAGTTCATTTACTACTGCTATTTTTTACTGTTGTAGCGATTACGTGTATGAGCACAACGCAGTGGTTTAGCGATTATGGAGCTCTAATGTTGACCCTAACCGGCGACATTCGAAGGTCGCAGGTTGGGTTCTTGCCCACGGCAAGTTGTCTTTTCAGCCACTGTTCTTTCTTCAAATTTATATTACTATTCGGTCTTATGATTTCTCCAATACTATCCTAGGCATGACTGTCTGTTAGAATATTATTCTGACAAGCACGAAAAATTGAGCCCTTAAGTATGCACTTTTCTCATATATATTTATATATATATATATATATATATATATATATATATACGTGTGTGTGTTGCGATGATAAAACAACAATTAAAACATGGTACTTACCATGTTCTCTCGTGGTTCAAGTTAGACGCCTGCACCACTCCGACTCGAATCGTCTTTTGCCACGTGTGAACGTTTATATTCTTCCAGTGTCTTCTTTCGCTGGTTGCATCATCGACGAATCATCACGATTTAGAGCTTCAGGGCTCTCATTAATTTTGTCACAAGGTTGTAAATGTGCAGTGATTCTGGCGCACGTATCTTTTGGGAGTGACATTCAACAATTGATGCTCTCTGGCGAAAATTGCAAAAAAATGAATGCAGCCATTTACAAGGTTCTCTATTTCCAGAACGCCTTCATTTACTAAACATATAAGTATTGCATTCTGTGCTCCTATTTGACAACAGTGGTCTTACAGGCTTGCCCAAATGTTAGTTGTTGTAGTGCGAAAATTTATGTTACATACTACCACAACATTCTTAGAATGGGACTACGGGATGCGACACTACAGATGTTCCAATAATGGTTTTTGCTTACCAAACACTTATAAAGAAGGGTAGACCCCAACTGATTGATAACTGTTTTAATACTACCTGGGAGCATTTGCATATACCTGCTTGTATTGTTAAGCCTATTCACGGAAGCCAAACCTGGGATAAAGCAGATACTCACTGGCATGGATTTTCATGTCTGCTGCCGTAGTTGTATCGCTCAAACGATGACACATAAATTTTTTTCTGTTTAACGAGCAATCTGAGCTGTGTTGCAATGTTTTTTTTACTTTACTTTCTCATGAAAGTGGGACAACAAGTGCTAATTGCGATGTGTCAGTCAAGCTGAAGTATATGCCGGACCAGCTGCCTCTTCAATTTGTTTTCTCGACGTGTGTGCAGCTGTAAACTGCGGGCTGCTTTAGCACACAAGCATTCGAGCGTTTCTCGAGCACATGTTCAAGTATGGCCAGAAAAAAGTGACAGCACCAAAGTGGGTGTTATAAGTACTTATTTCGTTGCCATGATTATAGCGCTGTTACAGCGAAATATCACAAACACGGTCTGGTTGGAACAAGTAACACGCACATATAGATGGTTATGTTTGACAAATAACTTGGAAAAAAAACTTCTCTCATGCGATATTGTGAGTTCGCGCCAGCACAAACCACTACTCAACAGCGAAAATGATAGCAGATAGGGCTGGCTCCATATAGTTGTTTTTCCGGCACTTGTAAGCTTGAGCACCGAAACAAAAAAGCCGAGAAACTAATAAGACACTGGTGCCCAACGAAACAGTGCTTCATATTGAGAAAATCTATTTAATGTTGCGATAATATTGAGAGCAGCACACGTCATTTATGTACAAAAATAACTGAAGGAGAGATAGTTATGACAATTAGTGGCGAAAGCGGTACTTAGGCTTTACTCCACCAGTGGTATAAGCTTAGTTGCGTGATACATTTAGGCTATTAGATGCAGAATGCACTGTGAACTGAAATATTGCCTTAGAAATATGTTCAATCGAAGAAATCCCAATATGACCATCACATGCGCCAACACATCATGTACTGACAAAAAGCTTCTTTACTGCACTTGAGCCGTTACTATGAATGTTCTGTATATGTCTCCTCGATTTGACAACACTTTCGTCACTATTTCAAGAGTGCTGCAATTTAGTTCTCGATTTAGCGAGGGCAGCTTGCGCCACCTGCACTTCTGTCCTCGATTTGGCATAGTAATGCACGAGTTCATCGACCCTTCATCACTAGCTTTCCCGCAAGCTCTCGTCTTGTGTAAGTAGTGCTAGGTAATCGACGTGGCTGCACTTTTGCCCTCGATTTGACCACTGCACTTAATCGCTAGGGTCGTGCCGCACTAAGATTAAATAAACTGGCGCGGCACTTGCACGGCACTTTGTTGAACTACGTGCAATATGTGCAACCAAGTCGAGGAGACCTTTTGAGACGGTAAATGAAATACACTGAATCATTTAGCATGACTACAATGAAAACTAAGAAAAAATACTGTATAATTGTGCAAAATAAGATACACATTCACGCCGAGAAAATAATACATGGTTTAGTATTTGAGTTTAGATAGTAAGAGAAAGGATAGGTGGGGGGGAGGTGCTTGTGTGCATGCGCTTATCCTTAGGGAGAAGAATCGCGTGCCCTGGCTTTTCAACGGAGCGATTGCGTTTGTTGCCTGCATCACAAAGGTCACTTCACTCGCTGGGCAGGCCCAGTTTGTGAAAAGAGCGCGCTTTTCACACACAGCGAAATAACAACTGGGACACTCGTTAGTTAGCACTCATACATACTCTGTAGATCTGATTACGTTTCGTTCGTCATTTCTGTTAAAACAGCGCGTCACGCGCCCAGCTGTAGACGTTGTTAGTTACCTCTCGTCCTGTGCGTGTTCTTTTTGTGCGTGATTTGAGCTTGAGCAGCGCGCTGCACGTTTCGATGTGCTAGCGGTTGTCAGCGTCACATTCCTAGAGGCGTAAATGTTGTAGGCTCGTGTGCTCAAATTTGGGTGCAAGTTAAAGAGCCCCAGGTGGTCGAAATTTCCGGAGCCCTACACTACGGCGTCTCTCATAATCAAATGGTGGTTTTGGGACGTTAAACCCCGCATTTCAATCAAATCAGCGTCACATTCCATGTTGTTGCCACCGCATTCAATGCTTCACCATTGAGGCGAAACTTTGAATTACTTATTCAGCGCCATATTAAGAAATGTCGCTGAAAAATGGTACAAACGCTGCACGCACCAGTTGCAGATAGTTATATAACCAGTTGCTTGCACATTGGCAACAATCCCAAAAAGAAAATGAGTGTTAGCAACACCAGAAGCGATAAAGTGATACGAAGCGCTGGTGCTCGCGAGGATAGTAGTCCTGTACACTGCCACATAGATTAACTTCAGTGCATGACACCTTTCTGCAATGTTATCAAACACGAGCACTGATGTATAACAAGAGTACGGCACATCGTTCTTAGGCCACAAGATCGACGCAACGGGTAGGCACTCTCCTGACAATATGGAAGCCATCACCGCGGCACCAAGACCAGAGACGGTGAGCCAGCTGAAATCATTTTTGGGACTGATTACATATTACGCCAAGTTTTGCCTAACCTTGCCACCACGTTGGATGCACTCTATCGGCTGCTGGCTAAACCAGCGCGATGGCAATGGAGAGCCGAACACAAGGAAGCCTTCAAGGCAAACAAGCGCGCTATGGTGGAAGCGGAACTTCTCGTACATTACGATCCCGAAAAGCCGTTGCGGATTGAATGCGATGCTTCACCTGTTGGGGTCGGCGCGGTGCTGTCACACCGTATTGGGAACCGAGATTACCCCATATCTTTCTGCTCGAGAACCCTGACAGCTGCTGAGTGAAATTATTCGCAATTAAAGAAAGAAGCGTTGGCCTTGGTGTTCGGCGTTATCAAGTTTTGAGATTACTTGTTGGCGAAGCATTTTACTCTGGCGACAGATCACAAGCCACTGACGGGACTGTTTCACCCGGAGAAGCTGATTCCGCATATTGCAGCCGCGAGAATACGACGGAGGGCATTGTTATTCTCGGCTTACCAATATGACCTCGAGTATCGTTCAGGACAGCTAAATGCTAACGCAGACGCTCTCAGTCATCTACTATTGCATGCTGGGGGGATCGAGGAGGGCAAAAATCCATGGAATACGTGCTCTACACATGAGGCCTAAATTCCATGGCACTTTCCTGATGAGCTCGTGGCCAGTCATGATCCTATTTACTGGGGCTATCGAGTAGGATTGCCAGATGCGGCGCGACGGTGCATGCTAAGGGAACTACACGACAGACACCCCAGTATCAGCGCGAAAAAGCGCACAGCGCGTGCACTCTTTTGGTATCGCGGATTAGACAGGGACATCGAACTGTTGGTTCAAAGTTCCCCACAGTGTATGCATTCCTGGCGCATGCCTGCCGCAGAAGTTCCGTCTCCTTGGCTGACGAGCAACAAGCCATGCTACAGGTTGCACTTGGATTTTGTGGGCCCCATCAATGGCTACCAAACTTTTGTGTTTGTGGACGCCGAGACTAAATGGACTGAGGCCATACCTTTGAAAACCTCCACAGCGGAGGCCATCATTCACGTACACCAATGTATTTTCACTCGTTTTGGCCTCCCGTAGTGCTTAGTATCAGCTAACGAACCACTGTTTTCAAGTGCCACCATGTCCAGTTTTTTGCAGGAAAACTACGTGAAACACGGGAGAACAGCCAAATACCTTCCGCAATCAAATAGGTTGGTGGAACGGGCCGTGCGGACCATAAAGGAAGGGCTTCGAAAGAATCCAACAGGTACGTTGCAAGAACGATCGATGAAGTTCTTATTACGTTACAGAACGACCCCTTTAGAAGGAGGCAAATCGCCAGCAGAACTGCTGTTGGGCTTTCGTCTCCGAACCAGGCTGACGGACTCGCTCACAGGCAAAAAAGTGGCCGGATATGATGGTTCCGGCGAACATGTGAAAGCAAAAGTCGAAACGCGGTTCCATCCGGGAAGGAGTGTATGGTCACGCCAGTATTCGTCTGGTCAGAGATGGATGCCGGCGACAGTAGTGTCCACGTTGGGAGCACGCATGGTTACACTAAAAACACCGGAGAGACCACATCGGCGCCACGTAGATCAACTCCGGCCGCGCTTGGACTCGGGGTCATCACCCAACAAGCGGAGCCAAGTCAACGACGAAGCTCAGTGTTTTGTTAAGCAGGCAGACGCTCGTCAAGATACGGGCGTACGAGAACGCACGCCCCGCCGCGGTGGTCTAGTGGCTAAGGTACTCGGCTGCTGACCCGCAGGGCGCGGGCTCGAATCCCGGCTGCGGCGGCTGCATTTCCAATGAAGGCGGAAATATTGTACGCCCGTGTGCTCAGATTTGGGTGCCCGTTAAAGAACCCCAGGTGGTCTAAATTTCCGGAGCCCTCCACTACGGCGTCTCTCATAATCATATAGTGGTTTTGGGATGTTAAACCAAACATATCAATCGTACGAGAACTCAACTCTCAAGCCGAAGATCAACAACCGCTACGACGTCGACTCGCCAGCGCAAACCACCGGATGGTCTCGCCTACACTAGCTTAGGGGGGGAGGGATGCAGTGTTATCAAACACGCGCACTCATATATAACAAGAGCAGTACTGTTTGCATGTGCCGTACTCTTGCTTATCATGACGAGCCATGTGACCTTTTCTGTGTAGTTATAAAGCCCGTAACACCGAGCAATAAACGTTCTTTCGTTCTGCCCCTTCTGCCGGTTACGTTCGGTATACCTCAAATTTATACAATAGACGTTCCCGCGATGTGATGGCTGTATCATACAAGTACTAATGTAGTGTTAATTGGATAGCCAGCACTTGAGCCGTATTTGCTATTTGAAGAGCATTAGGGTGTATTCTAGAAGTAGTCCTGAGACCTGGCGTGGTTCTGTGGTAAAATACTTAATTGCCCAGAAGAATGCTGGGGCTGGATTCTTGCTGGAAACCAGACAATTACTCCTTACATTCGTCTGTAAACGCAGCCGATTGCAGGTTTTTTTCACGCTCGCGTGTTAAAATTACCCATATGTGTTTTCGCTTGTCATGGGTAGATACTAATCAAGTGTCACTTACCTGTAGCAC